CCCCCCCCCCCCCCCCCCCCCGCCCCCCCCAATCGCACCCCCCAATCGAATTTCTGGCATCCTGCCCCAGTGTTACGCCACTCAACTTGTGCACAAACTGCCTATATTATATAACTATGCCATTCCCACGGCATGCTACGCTCCTCCTCAATTCAATGTGCATTCAATGTACATTTTCTGAAAAGAAAAGAAACGAAAAGAAAAAAACGACGCTCAAGTTGCATTCTGGAAAACTCAATTCGCACATAACTTGAACGGTCAAACGACCTTCAAATTGCACTCTGAAAAAGAAGAAAAAAAAAAAAAAGCCCTCATCGGCCCTGAGTGTACTCCTACTTACCGCCACAGTCTCCATTTCCCCTCAAGGCTCAAGATAATTTCCCCTGCCCGTCTCCTTCTCCTTGCACATTTGCGCCATCATTCCACCGCCTTAGCTAATCCAGACAGTTTGGTGTCCATTTTATGTACATTCAATGTGCATTCTATGCTCACTTCACAGCTGCTGTTACATTACTATTAACAGCCACCAGTGATGTGTGCCCCACTGTATGGATGCACAAGAAGTCAAGGACAGGGGAGAGAAGGTGGACAGCAAAATGCTCCTCCATCAACCGCCAGCAAAATGCTCCTCCATCAACCGCCAGCAAAATGCTCCTCGATCAAGGAGCACTCTCCTTGCGGAGGAAGTTTTTGCACAGCCGATTGCCTCAGAAATTCCACAGCTATCAACTGAATACGCGGAGAGAGAGAGAGAGAGAGAGAGAGAGAGAGAGAGAGAGAGAGAGAGAGAGGCAAAACCAAAAATAATAATGGAAGGCCAAAGACAGATTTCCTCAACAGAGTCGTTCCATTTTTGTTAGATTTGAGATTTCTTTTTAATCACACGAAGTTGAAATTCACTTTTCAGGGCCATTTTTTATGGGGTTACATAGGGGCTCTGCTAAATGCCGTATGCTCTCTCTCTCTCTCTCTCTCTCTCTCTCTCTCTCTCTCTCTCTCTCTCTCTCTCTCTCATATACACAAACATGCTGAGGCGGAAAAGAACTGCGCACCAAGCTTTGCCGAACTCAACGCGCCTTTTTCTTTTTGATTTGGCTGGTGCCGCCAGCCATTTTGGTCCGGTGGCCCCCGGCCTACTATAGGCTATACCTCATTCTTAGGAAAGGTAGTTGTCATTTAAGTAACCCACTAAAAATGGCCCGAAAAAGTGATGTTCAATTTCGTGCAATCAAAGAAACACTCAAATTTGAGGAAAGAAAGGCCAATGACAAGACTCTAGGCTAGAATTGTTTGTTTCTTGAATCCTTGTTGCCTATTTTTAGTTGTCACAACTTGTTGGTGCTTTCACTCCTATCCCCCTCCCCCATCACTTGGTGTGATTTGGGGTACCAGCCAGCAGAACCTTGTTGGCATTTTGCTTCTCCACTTCTTTCATCGCTTTACTCATTCGCTCTCTAAACAAGTCCCATTCTTTTAGGCACCGCTCGCGGACCTGCAATCCACCGTCAAATAGGCAAGTGAAAACATTATCGCAAAGTTGGTCAGAAATTTTTGAGAGCCATGTACACTCTTTATGTTCCTGATTTTTCCATGGAAATAACAAATGATTAAAAGAAAGAAATAAAATTATTTCTAACGTTCATAACTTCATATATATATATCGTCAAACTCCGACGAAACAGTTTGCCACAGCCCCTCGTCTGTTGTCCCTCTTCTCCCTCTCTGCATACGGTTTACCGGGCAGTTCTGGTTGACGATATATACCCCCACTTCCAGTCCTTTTCCACAGCTAAATGTAAAACTTTGTAGTGCCATAAAGTAGGCTGCTTGTTGTGCGTGCAGTTCCACATGAGCAGCACACCCGCCAGACCAGATCCGCGCGTGCACGAAATGCGCGGCGGACAACCGGGTACCCCCTCCTCCCCCCTAAAGAGAAAAAGACTGGGGGTCGAAACGGCACTTTTAAGGGCCCCTGCCAAAAATTGAACAGGGACCAAATTCTTTTTTTCCAGTCGTCTACCTCCTCCTTTACCTCCTCCTCCTCCAGTCCCAGCTAGGTATTTGCGTCGTTAACATATGCAGGGCCTGAAATCGTAAAGTAGCCCTTCTCCCTCGTCTGCTCCATTCCTCGATCCCTCCATCTTTCTTCCTCCTCCTCTCCTCCTTCCTCCAATCGCTGGAAATCGCGCACCTCTTTCTTTGTGTGTGTTTCCCGTCCATCGTATTCCGACTATACCCCCCATCTCCTCGCCACATCCCCTCCGCTGGGAACCGATGGAAATCACAAACCTCCCTTCTCCCTCATTTGCTCCATTCCTCCTTCCATCCGTCCTTCTCCCAATTTGTTGATGTGTCTTTCAAGTTCAAACTTCACCCCCCATATCTCCTCCATGTCTCCTCCATTTTTCTTTCATCTCTCCATGTCTGCAATTGGCACATTTGCAGAGTGGCGGGGGGCAATACATCTTTCCAGCTCTCGCTGGGCACATTGGGAGAGGTCAATAAAAACGCAGCCATGTATCGTTCCGTGTTCAACCGTTTTTTAATTTTTTTTTTCCTGCGCAGGGGCCATGCCAATCTTCTCTGTATCGTTCCAATTTTAACGGATGTCCCGAAGGATTCAGTGACTTTTTCAGTCTCATTTGGCCGCTTTTCGTTTTGTCGTCCGGTAGGGTCCTTTTGCCATCTCGCGGGGTTACACAGGGGTGGGTACATGATGGTAGTTTTTTTTCCCTTTTTTAAATCCAAAGAGGCCAGCCACATGGAGGCTTGTGCTTTTCACTTGCATTTTGGATCGGGATGCAGCAGATGTTCGAATGCAGCCATGTCTCTTTCTGTGTTCAACTGGAGGATTCAGTCCCATTCGGCCGCTTTTCGATTTGTCACCCTGTAGGGCCGGTTTGTCGTCTTTCACGGCTACACAGGGGCCTGGACCCATTAGCAAAGTATTCTACCACTCCGTTGAGGATTTCGATCACCTGTGGCCTCGAGTGACGCAGTACGAATACATTGGATCTCGACGGCCTGGTAGTTTTCGAGCGGGGACTGTAAAGATGCCCACCCCCCGTCCAATGAGATGCGTCGAAAAACAAAAAAAAAGTTAAAAAAACAAATTTGGACATGATAGCTCGTTGACTTTGCGTGGGCGGGAAGTCTGTATTTTATGGACTAGAAAGGGGGGGTGTTGATTTCCAGACTTCGTTGTTTTTTTTTTGGCTCTGAGAAATCGAACTTGAAATGTGAAATTCGAACATTGTGGTGGATCTGACAGGGACGCTTCCGCGTCTGTCCGATGGCCTGTTAGAGGCATCATGAGATACATGGTGATGAATGTATCCCCATACCCGTTACTTGCTCATCCTCGTGGCTGTGTTCGTGGACACATTTTATTGCCACAGTACATCACTATGAAGACTTGCGTGAAGGAGATTGTACCAACCCATGAAATCAGGTGCACAGCTGTTCTTCTTTGTTTTATGTGCCATTTCAATTCATTTTAAATCAGAAAACGATCCATTCATGCAAATAAAAGTTCACTTTGTCTTTTCCAAAAAGCCATAAAATTGCATCACACAGTGTATAATACTTCGCTAGTCGGTCCAGGCCCCTGGGGTACACGTGGAGGCTCGTTTTTTGTTATTTTCTGATCAAAAGAGGGCAGCCACGTGGAGGCTCGCGATTCCYCCCCCCCCCCCCGCCCCCCACCCCCGAAAAAAATAAAAGGACTTCTTCTTTTCTTTTTTCTTTTTTTTTCCCATTTGGAAGCCAAGCAAGGGCTGAATCACGCCTGATGCTAGGATCCCCCCACGGTCCCCACCTACCCCACGTTGGACCCACCAGCCAATATACTGCCATGCACTCCACTTACTACGGCCCACCCTGCATAGTAGTCCCCAACCAACGTGCTATCACTGGCCTATATAATACCACCCAGTCCACACAGTATGACACACCCCACATAGTGCCACCCGGCCCACTTAGTATTAGCTCTGGTCACATGATACGTCCCTGGCCACATACTGCCCCCAGTCCACGTGCTATGCCCCACACCAGATAGTGTCTCCCAACCCGCATCTCACATACCAACCTAAGGTGCGCATGGTATGACCTGCCCAATGTGGCACACCAATCGGCCCACATAGTGCCATCTGACCTTGCCAAGGACTGAATTTTGCCTGATGTTTGTCGTGTTTTTTCTTTTGGTGGTGGTGGTGGGGGGGGGGGGGGGTGGTGCAGGGCTCCTGTTGTTTTCCTCTCTGTTGTTTTCTCTCACCCCAGGTACACTTGCACCCTCGAAAGTGCCAAGCCCAAATAACCTATGGTGGGCGGGACCGTTGGGGTACCTGGCCGTTGAGGTGCTGCAGGGTTGCTACCGTTTTAGTGATGCGCGGCGCATCATATTTTTTGGGCTGAGAAGGTTCGCATGCTGACCTTCTTTTTTTCGCGGTGCCGTTCGGCAAGATGAGCTGACCTTCTTTTGCTCCCCCATCCCCAGCGGCCGCTTTTGCACCTCATGTTAATACAAATTCATAGCAGCAAAAGTCCATCTAGTGAAAAGGGACGGCTCGGCCGCAGGAGGACCTGCGCTAATTTTAGCGCAAATCGGGGTGATTAGGGTTAGGGCTAACGAGGGGACCTCTCCACCCCCGGGTTTGGTAGAAAAAGGCTCCTTTCGTCATGTCCTGACACCATGGCCGGTGGCATGTCGTCAAGCTATGCTGGGGTTTCCTAGAGGGTTGGTAATGGAGTGCTGCCAACGGTGATGTTCAGAAACGCCCACGTCATTCTGTAGCAACCAGGAGTTTGGTGAAGATTGCTGCCGACACGTCTGTTAGTACCCTGCCAACTCACCATGCTCCAAGAAAGGTATATTTCGTTATACATGACCTCCTGGTGTTGGGTAAAGGTACGACATAGAGCGGTGCTGGCTACTTGCATGGTCCTGCTGTTTTTTAGTGCCGATAGTGGATGGAAGTTAAATCGTAGTTGTAATTCTGATTTTGAATTGGTTTGGAGTACTATTGTAGGAAGAACTTTCTCGAAGATATCAATGGAGGCTTCCTGCTCCTCCCCTCGGGGTCCTATTTCCGAGGAGGACAAGCTAAGAGTGAGAGAAATTTTGAAGGAGTGTTATCTGAAGGGAATTCTTCCCGAGGAGTTTGCTCCGGAAGTAGTCGAGTCAGGCTCTGATTATGTTAGAATTGTGGTTAACAAGGAGTTCTATGATGTCCAAGCTGAATGGTTAGCAGAACACTCGATGACTATCCACTTCGGGGACGACTCCACCTCCCTACCTGTCAAAGTTAAGAACAGATTAGTTCGAATTTATGAGGAGGGGTGGGTCAGGTCCGGGATCTTCAATGCACCTCCTAAGAGAGGTATTTTTCGGAATGAAGGAAAAAATATGGCCACGTATGTGGCCAGTTTGAAAAGGAGAGCACAGTGGATGCTACGTAAGAAGCAGGACATAATAGAACTAGACAACAAGACGTACTCGATTACCTTTAAACCTTGGATGAAGGAACAAGAACTCTATGAGTGGAATGAATGAGGGAAAGGTGAAAAGTACCCTAAGAAAGGGAGTGAAAACTGTGAAATAGAAAACCTGAAACCCGATGCAAGCAATCAGTCGCAGGCTGAAAGATGCATCATCAATCAATGGATGATGGATCTGCAAAGGTTAATGGCGTGCCTTTTGCATAATGGGTCAGCAAGTAAATTGATACAGCAAGCTTAAACCCTTAGGTGTAGGCGTAATGAAATTGTAGATAGTTGAACGAAACCAAAGCACTGATGAGTCGGTGTACAGCGGAACCCTTGTGAGATTGTATTACAAAATGAGTTTGAGAAATAAGTGTTTCCTGTGATGTCTTGGACGGAGCAACTCTGCTGACGAGCCTGTGGGATTCAAACGCGAAGCGTCTACTGAAATTCAAATAAGGTTCTATGTGCTTCCCTAACTTTTGCAGACCCGATCTCGCCAGACTTGTGGAACGTCAGGTTTCACCTGGTGCCTTCTGCACGCTGGCGTATAAGAGAACAGTGATCATAGATATGGGAAAGCATGGCTTCATGGAACTCGATGTGGCATGTGTTGAAACACCTTGGTGTAAGGCGTGTAGGCACTTTTTTCACGAGGAAAATGATTCTGTGTGTCCCATCACTGCAAAAAAAGCTTCAAACGTGGCGTGGAAATCTGGTTACAAGCAAGCTATTCTGAAAGAGAAGGAGGCAGCGGGACGGAATGAAGTCGATAAAGCAGGTGGGGAGAAGGTAGGGGGAGGAGGGGGAAAAGGGGATCCTAAGCCACCCTCGACTTCTGAACAAAAGGAGCCAGTGAAGGAGCCAATCGGCTGGGAGAGGCGGCGGAAAGGTAGAAAGGAAGAAGGCCGGTTGACGTAGAAGTGGGCCAGAATAGCAAGGGGAAAGAAAAGGTCAAAGAAGGAAGAGAAAAGTCGAATTTCGGAGACAGACGAGTTCTTGAAGGAGAAGAAGAGGGGGAGGATAGTGGAGAAGGGGCAGAAGGCGAGCGAAGGGAAACCGGGTGAGGACAGGGAACGAAATTCAGCGAAGGACAAGATTGCAAGCAGCGAAATGATAGTAAATTTGGAAGATATAACAACGAAAATTGCTGCTGCAAAATGGGGTTTCCCGGATCAGGATACAACAGGGCCCCTAACCCCCCCAAATCAGCAGGCTCTCCCCCAGCAAGGAGACGAGCCCCAACCAGGGGCGCCAGTCCCCACGGAGGGGGTGCAGTCGGAGGAAATGGAGCTGGTAGAAGCAGCACAAATCCTGTTCAAAGCTAGAGAAGCAGGGACAAAATAAGGTTCGAAGAAAGAAAGAAAAAGGCAGGATAGGCGGGAGGGTGAGAAAGAAAACAGGCGAACTGGGGGACTAGAGGATAATGGTTTCGTACTGCGGAAGCATTATCAGGAAAGCCTGTCTGAGCTCGCGCTCTCCTACGAGGCCCTGAAAAAAAAAACAGTCCTTAGAGAACGGAATTTCTCAGTGGGACCTGTCCTTTGCTGCACCTATGACTACCCTGCCGCGAGCCGATAAGGATGCAAAGAAGCCAGTGGAGATTCTGGCTCCATTAATCTGTGCCTATTCACAGCAAAGACCTAAAGCGCTGACATTTGTGGCTGAGCACGAGTCCTTGAGTCTTCCCTCAATAAAAGTTTGTGCTCAGCCCTCAGACACATTGGTAATAGACTAGATTCAGGCCTCGGTCCTGAAAGGCATGGGCACAGTCCACTGTCTGTTAGAACCAATAAGGGGAAGGCATGTGGTGGAGATGGCAGATAAGGGAAAATACATCCTCCACCTGGCCTTTCTTAGGTTGGCTACTATGGAAGGATCTAAAGAACAATGGTCCCAGATAAATGTGCACTGGTTCCGATTACCAGCCCTCTTAGCACCGTATTCTTTGAATCTGAAGGACATACGTTTGGGAGCTAACCTGTGTGCTACTCACATAGCAGAATGAATTTCAGCATCAGAATCCAAATACATTATTGAAGCAGAAAATTTCTCTCGACAGGTTTGCCCCTGAAGTCCCCTTCTAGGGACGCAGGAGTAATGACAGAGGGAGGCGCAAGAAGGGTCAGCTCTGACGAGCTCCGCATCCAACCTTAGGGCGGCAGCGACCAATCTGATGGTCCCGCCCAATAGGATCCGAATCACATGCTGGAATGTCAGAGGCATCGGTGAGTCATTGAAGACATGCAGGCTGGCCGACTGGGTACATTCACAAAATTTGCATATTACATGTCTCCAAGAGACAAAGTTAAATTTAGAAAAAATTCAGGACTTCGCCTCTTGGTGGAAAGGCCCTCAGTTTTGGCCCCAGCAGAGGGTTCACGGGGATTAGTAGTGATTTTAATTAATACGGATTTAGATGTAGAAGTTATTGATTTTTTTGCTGATCCCAGGGGTAGATGTGTGTGGGTTAAGTTGGCGGCGGGAGATGAGGAGTGGGCCGTAATGTCTATTTACGCCCCGGTGGGCTACATAGAGAGATTGGATTTCCTCGCCTCACTACCCTCTTGGACTCCAGATCTGGAGAACCTAGATATAGCAAGGGACTGGAACACAGTCTTCAATCCGGGCCTGGACTCTTTGAATACCACAGCAATCAGGCAGGACTCGCTGCTTCTGTCCTCTTTGGCAGACTCACAGAATCTGGCAGATGTCTTCAGGATACTTAACCCTGATGCCAATGGTTATACATGGCATGACCTTCGCCCATCCCCAACAGCCCCCATCCTGAGAAAAAGACTCTTTTTTTTTTTGGCCAGGGGAGTCCTATGGGATAGAATCATGTGGTGTGAGCCAGGAGTGGACTCGATGTCCAATCACTATCCGGTGTGCATGGATATCTTGGCAAGAGAGCAGTTGGATAAATGTCAGCCTCCTTTCAAATTCAACGTTAATCTACTAAAAACTAAGGGTATCCCAGAATGGGTAAACAACCAGATGGCATTGGAAAAGAAACACCACCTCTCGACAACACCCGGCTGCGCTAGCGCTAGCGCCCTGACGCCGGCGGATCGACGAGGCTCGGTCTCCCCGGCTAGACTAGCACCAGGGGGAGGAAGCTCCTCGGCTGCTAGGCCTGTGTGCGCGCCCAACAGTCGTGCGCGGCTTCCTTTTTCCACGTGGTGTCTGTTGTTGGTGACGTGGCCGTCCCGCGACGCGCGCGGAGGGGTAGCGCCAGCAGTGAGGTCGACGCGGAAACGTAAGTGGAGCGCAGCTATCAGGGTTAGAGATGGAGGTGGGGGGGGAGCTACAATGACAAGCAGATGATTGGCTGGTGACATTGTAGCAGGGATGCAGGCGGTTACAGGTGATGGTGGGGGAGCTGTCTTTGCAGTTGAATGAGGAGCCAGAAGACGAAGGGGGAGCGATCTCTCTGGCTGTTTGGTTGAAGAATATGGCCGACGACATGCTGGACATCATCTGGGGGATGGAGGAAGGGCCGGATCCCCAGCTGGAAGCCTGCATCGATTGGAAGAGGGCAGAGGCCATGATGTCTACCTACTATGACCTCTTAGCTGAGGGTCGCAACCTGCGCTGTAAGCTTGAAGACCAATTGAAGGGCAAAGACGACCTGGAGGGTGAGGAGTGGCAGGAGGACGGAGCGCAGGGAGACAAGGTTAACTCCAGCGTCAGCATCAACAACAACAACATCAACGACAACAACAACATCAACAACAACAATGACTACAACAACAACAACGACAACAACAACGGTTACAACAACAACAACAATGATGACAACATCAACATCAACAACCAAAACGTCAACAACAACACCTACAACGGAAGCGCTGAACATGGCAGCAGCGGGGTGGAGAACGGTGCCCGCGCATATCTGGTCATCGTCAGCAACATGGGAGAGATGCCGCACGTGGATGTGGTGGAATTCGGGGCTGACAACAACAATGGCGAGGGCGGCAACGACGATGATGGCGGCAGGGATCTCCATGACAACAGTCACAACAACGACAACAATAACAACGTCGACAACAACAACAACAGCGGTGATGGCGGCAGCGACGACGATGGCGGCAGCGACGACCCCGGCAGCAGCGGGGCAGAGAGCATCAGCATGACGGGAGAGATGCTGCATGCTGGCGTGGAGGGGAGTGGGCTTGACACAGATAAGAGGTTAGCCAACTTCCCCCTCCTCCCCCCTCTCAACCTCGTTGGTTGGCTGAAGGTAGGAGTGGGATAGTCGTTGTTGGGAGTGGGATAGTCGCGGTTGATTGGTGTTGTCCGGCCCACAATATCAAGCAACATTGGAGTGCTGATTGCCCCGCACACATACATTACATCTTGGTTAGGGTTTCGCGGGTTGTACATTTACAGAGATACAGTGGATTAGATGCATAGGGTTATAGGGACGCTGGACCCGATTTCGAGCAGATACATTCGCATCTCTGTACATAGGGTTTCGTGTTTAAATGATTGATTGATATAGAACACATCCATCACATACGCCACATCACACATACAGCACACTTACATCACACACACATCACATCGGGGATTGTTTTACATACACAGTGATACGGTGGATCAGATGCACAGGATCAAAGGGTAGCTGGACCTGATTTCCAGCAAACACTTTCACATCTTTGTATAGGGACGCTGGACCCGATTTCCAGCAGATACGCTCTCGTCATTGTACAGGGACGCTGGACTCGATTTCCAGCAGGTGTAGCTCCCCACCAATAGATGGAGCCTTCGACGCTGGGATCTACTTATCGGGGATGCTCTTAGCACCTCGATAAGTAGGTTTCCCGTATACGAAGTTAAAAAAAAAAAAAAAAAAAAAAAAAAAAGACATGGATGGGTGCCCAAGATTTGTTCTTAGACGAAAGGGCATGAGCAGAGGTAGGCTTGGGCATTATATCAGCAGTCTTGGACACTTTCTCACACATGAGTGCTGCTAATCGCTCTTGGAAGGAGCAGACACTGCATAAGTTGGTAACGGAGGCGGAGCAAAAGATGGGGGGAGATCCCTTCTCAGACTACTATTGGTCTGAGAAAAGGAAAACCCATCTGATGCAACTTAAAGAAATGGAGTCCAAAAAGCAGGAACAATGGCTTCAGTGGCTTAAACTAAGGGGGTTAGTAGGTTATGATCGGATGGCAAAGATCACCTTCAGATCCCTTATCCTCAAACAGGCAAAACCGGTTCTTCGAGAGCTGGTTCATCCTTTCTTGCTGAATGCACCTATAGCGAAGGATTCAAAAGAAATATGTTAATATGCAGCGTGTCAGACAAAGTGGTGGCCCGAATCTCTGGCTGGGTCCGTAACCACCAACTCTCCTTGTTTGGGAGGGCTCTGGTGCTGTCCTCTGCCGCCTTCTCACTCCGCTGGTTTCCAATGATGGTCGACCTGATAAGCGAAGAGGCTTACAAAAACTGGCAGAATCTAAGAGGAAGCTTCATCACAGGGGAGGACAGATGGCAATGGTTCCAAGATAGCTACCAGACGCTAGCTCAAATAGCAGCTAAAATATCGAGGAAAATGGCCAATGATAGGAGACGAAGAAAAGTGATGCTCGAAACTGCCCTTAAAGTAGCGGAGAGCAATTTAATCACTAATCCTTCTTCTCAATTGTACACGGATGTACTGCAAAGAACGAGAGATGAACTTGGGACATGGCGCATTTGGGAACTCAGAGCCCCCCAGATCAGAGCCAGAATGACGGACCTTGAGCTAAACGAACAGATGTCAAAATATGTTTTTGCTAGAATGAAGGCAAATAATCGCTCTAGCTCAATCGAGGGGCTTAAGGAAATAAGGGGCCAACAAAGAACCCGTACAGACACTGAAGGGATGCTCGAGGTCGCAAAGGAATTTTATGACGAGCGCTACAGCTCTAAAACCCCTTCAAATACCCCACCAAATATCCCCACGCCGCACGGCTAGGGCCAAAATGCTACAATACCTGGACAGAACAATATCGGATGATCAAGCTGAAAAGTTGGATAAACCGCTATCTCTGGAGGAACTGGAATTCGCCATGCGAAACATGAACAATAACAAGACTCCGGGCATAGACGGTTTGACAAAGGAATTTTGGGAAAAATGCTGGCCCCTAGTGGGAACGGACCTCTTGAACTTCTACAATGACAGTTGGGAGAAAGAAGGGATGGGAGAACTTCTTAGCACCAGTGTGGTAACACTACTGTATAAGAAAGGCGACCGGGAAGACATCAAGAACTACAGACCGATTTCTCTTCTCACACTCCCCTACAAAATTTTGGCTAAAGCACTAGCGTACCGCATACTGGTCCTAACAGACAAGTGCTTTCACATAGACCAATCGGGATTCATACTAGGAAGATATATCCTAGATAATGTAATGACCCTTAATGAAGCCTCCAAGAAAGTATTAGAGAAGAAAATTAGTACAACAATTCTCTTCTTCGACTTCGAAAAGGCTTACCACCAGTTAAACTGGGACCTCCTAGAAGAGAGTATGGAAAAAATGGGGGTAGGGCCCAACTTCAGGAAATGGGTGCGTGTTTTGTATAACAATGCCTCCGACTGCGTTCAGATCAACGGCCTGCTCTCCAAAGGCTACCCAATCTCCAGATCAGTAAGACAAGGAGACCCATTAGCTCCGCCGATCTTCCTCTTTGTAATGGAAGCCATAGCCTCCTTTCTCCGTAAGGACCCTTCTATCCAAAGGCTGCCGGAAATGAATGTAGGTTCTGCGCACAACATACACTTTCCCACAGTAATCATGTTCCCTGATGATCTAACGGTCCTAATCAGAGCCTCTAATTCGTCAATGGCGGCCTTAGTTAGGGCAATGGAAGCCTTGAGATTAGCCTCAGAAATGAAGATAAATTGGGGCAAAACGATAGGTTGGTGGCTGTCTGATGAACCTGTTCCACAACTTCAAAGTCCGGAGAGCCAGATGTCATGGGAAAAACCTACGTTGCCAATGAGATATCTGGGTATTCAAGTTACGAAAGAAGGCCCAGCACCTCAGATGGCACATAACCTACTAGCCAGCCAAATTAATAAAATGGGGAAATGGAGTCAAGCGTTCACGTCAATATTGGGCAGAGCACTCGCCATTAACACGTCCATATTCTCAATGATGTGGTACATTGCCTCGATCTGGACTATACCAGACCAGACAATCAAAGACCTGAACAGGAAAGCTAGAGCCTATTTGTGGTCAGGAGACCCGAATAGAGAGAATTACATCCCAAAGATAGCCTGGCACTTTATCACAACGAAACCATCCCTGGGCGGACTAGGTATCATAGATCCCAGACAAGAGACGAAAGCCCTCCAAATCAAGTGGGTAGTTAAGCTTTTGTCTAATCAGTCTTTTCCCTGGAACAAGCTAGCAGTGTAGCACTAGATAGTATCCGAAACCTTGCCCCGATTGAGGCTCCCCTAAATATGTGCGGGCTGTTCTGGGTGATGAACAAAGACTGGACCCGAAAAGGACAAAGAAGACAGAGGAGACAAGCCCCCACCCAGTCCTCGCACCCCCACTGGGCTGCTCTTCTACAGATCTGGCGGGAGATCATGCCAGAAAAACTAGGTGAATCAAGGTCCAAAGACGAAGTGCTCCGACAGCCTCTCTTTGGGAATCCGTGGATTAGAGACGAAGGGGACCATCCGTGGACACTGTCCAGCGGAGGTAACAAATGGCTATCCTGGATCAAACAGGGCGTTTGGCGAGTAGGGGACATATGGATTGATGATAAGAAAAGTTGGCTGGATGAGACTGACCTCAAGACCCGATTGAAAGGCTGTCATCACAGGGACGAAAATCTCTAACGGATAATACAGAGCATCCCGGGAAGCTGGGTAAATTTTCTGAAGGAAGAGTTCACATGGAAGCCAGGCGAGTGGGGTGTCCTGTATCAAGAATCCTCCCCAGCTAGAGCTTACCAATTTTCCCACCGGCAGACCACACCTGCTCCAAGGGATGTATTCACCTCCTTCCCAATTTTGAAGACCAAGCCAGATGAACTGTTCATTCAGAACATCAATCCTGAGAGAGTAGTGCTGAATGCGTTCACGCTGAGGAAGATAAGGACGTTAGGACTCTGGCCTAAACAGATCTTCCAAATAAACACAGCAGTTCAAGACCTCGAGTTCGACCCCGCAGAATGGGCATGGCGGCCAGAAAGAAATAGAACGGCCAAACCACCAACTCCAACCTATGACTACACAGTCAAGCTAGGCTACAAAATGCTGCTAAGAACGAGGGACCCAGCAGACCCAGTGATCAAAGGAAGGTGGAATAAATTAATCAGACCAGTCGCGGACCAGTTAACAAAAATCCCGTGGAAAAAATATAAGACAATAAGACCCATAAAAATCCAGAGCATGCAGTGGCTCATCACCTACGCTGCTCTACCGGTTAACCAATGGCTGCATGTTAGGAGAAGGAAGAATGATCCAACAAGCTCCGACATTTGTGCAGTATGCTCTGATCAAGAACAGGAAGACCTAATACACTGCTTGATTAAATGCAAAGAAGCCACAGAATACTGGGCACGTGTGGCAGCCCTATGGGACACTCTCTTCTCATCTGCCCTCCCTGAACACCCCCTTCAACTCCTCCTCTGGACTAAACTACCATCTAACTTTGGCAAACCAGAGAGAATCTAGTATGGGATGCTACGCAAAGTCACACTGTGGGCCATATGGAAAGAAAGATGCAGCAGAACTTTGGAAGGCACGACGAACCCACGAGAGAAGGTTTGGTTTTCAACCAAARGGCTTATTGAAGCGGAGATTCTTGGCCAGTGGAGGAAGGTCAAACTATGTGTTCAGTACCACCCAGATCAAGAGCAGATGATTCTGTCTAAATTCAAACGGGACTGGTTGGTAGGAGAAAAGGTGGCGTGGCTGAACGGGCTGTTCTTAAGATGGAAGGATTGGCACAATTCCGACACGCCCCCAGATCTGCAGATTACCCAAGAACATGAAGCAGCTCCAATATGGTCATAGGGCAGTCTCCACTAGCAAGCCGTGTGAAGCTCCAGCAGTCAACCTACAGGGGATATACTGACAGAGAGAGGATGGGGGGCCCCTAAAGGGGTCTCGTTCTTCAATTCTCGAATATGGCAGCCGGTTCCACACATACCCAGGGTGCGGGCCCTGCAGTCAGCGGAGAAAGGAGGTGCTCCAAGACATTCGAGGATTCAGAGTCGATAAGGAAAGGAACAGGGACCCTGCGGCGCAAGATGGTAGGAACAGGAAGGCGATGCAAAGGAGGGAGGTGACGACAACAAAACTGAGACTATAGTCTCAGGAGGATAGACAACTCTCCCAGTTTTCTCGTTTCATTGAGTCATATTTGACAGACCCAGAATGAGGTCTGAGAGGAAAACCAGGGTAGGGCAAGCTGACAGTCAATNTTTTTTCTCACCCTCCCCCTTGATAGAATGCTTTCTTAAAAAAAACAAAAAAAAGAATGCCTGGGCATTCTAAATGAATAACGCCCTTCTTTAGAGAAAGAAAAAAAATGTCTAGGCGTTCTAAATGAATAACGCACACACACGGAGGCCATTTTCTTCACTTCTTCTGACCAAGCCCAATGTTCGAAGAGAGGAAGGCAGTTCTGGCCAATGACCCCTCGAACCTCGTAATGCATTATCCATGCTAGCCTGCAAATCATCTCCATCATCACTCTTCCCCAATCTGCTTAATATGCAAAAGGAGAGAGCACTTGAAGAAATGAATGAACCCCAGGGCGCTAGGGCCTTGAATGAAAAATCCCAATATTTTCCCTCCAGTCTACAGCAGATGCTCCAAAGCAGGTGCAAACAAAGACAAATAACAAACACCTACACCTAGGCAAGGCCCACTGGCCAAATCATGGACACAAACATGAAAGAAGAGGAGAAAGCAAGGGAGGAGATTCTGCATCTCCCACCTTTGCTATATAGTTACATAACTAGGCGGGAAGAGCCTACCTTCCCTCCCAGGTCCTCCCTGATAGAACTTCTATACGTCATGTGTATACTACTATACACACCTAGCCGAAATCCCTTGCCACAGGTAGCAGGAGGTCTAGGAGTACTGGTACTCCGCTGCTGTCCACAGAAAAAAAAGTCGTTGCATGGTGTTTCTTCTGCAGAGGGCTGGAAGGGTCGGATCCTTCATGGAGAATAGTACGCATCAACAATGAATTCTAAAACCACAGTTACATCCGAGACTGTTCTTCCTGTGTCGGATTTATACTGCACGCCAAGTTCACCACTAGCCAGCGTGGCACACATTGTTTTTCTTTTTGGCTGGTGCTGCCAGCCAAAGAGGTCTGGGAGATCAGACCCCCAAAGAATCCAGTGGTCAACAAACTTGTCACAAAGGTCGTGGTAATTTAAGATGGAACGGATGGCATAACTGTACAGAGCATAGACCCAGTACACCTTGGCAACCTGCCCAGTGGTCAGTACCAAGGGGTCAGGAATCAACAACAGAACTCTGAAGGTCAAAACATCTAATCTTGTCCACTAAGAAGGTAACCAGTGTTACGAATAGAACTAGGCTGACGAGGCATTTCTGCACAATCGGCAAGGCCCATCAAGAAATCCTCCACCGTTCCATCTTTCACGCCAGTTAGACAGCTTACATACGCATGGGATGAGAGGAAGCCATGAAGGATACAAGGTTTCCTGTCAGTCAACCCCCCCTTTCTTACGGGGCAATTGATGCTCATCAGGGATGGCGGAAGGGAGCATCCAAGTTACTTTCAAATGTACAATCTGTGATTTGTCAATGGAAAAGTAACCAAACTGTGACTCACCAGAACGTATTCAGACCGGGGCCACATGGCATGGTTTCCGTGATTAAAAAACGAAAAGAAAAGAACTTTAAAAAAGACACCACCAGTGGTCACCATGTATTTCAATACTTGACTTGCCGGTGGAAAGGAACCGGACTGACACTCCCCAGAATGGAAATGGAGCCAGGACCATAAGGGCCTGTTTTGATTTAAAAAAAAAAAAAAAAAAAAAAAAAAAAAAAAAAAACAAACTGTTAAGGAAGTTGCGGCCAGATATCTGTGGAAACCACAAGCAATGGAAGACCAGAGGTTCATAGTGAAAGCAGCATAGGAAACCATTGCCTGCGCAAGAGATAAATGGGTACTGGGAATCCTGGACCCTCTCTTCCAGAATGTGGTGCTTCTGCTGACATGGCCCATCTTGGCAATGTTTGGCCAAAATGGAAAATTTTGGGTTCTGCTGGCGGAATACATCCAACAGCAAGAATGGAATCTGAGGGAGGGGGCCCATGTATGGCTATGTTTCATGATTAGGTCCTACAGCCTCAGAAGACCCAAATCCAGGTTATGGGGGAACATTCTACAAGCCTGGAATAGAATCAGACCCTCTCAGCTAGCTGAGCCTTCAGTGAAAGGTGAAATACTAAACCAGAATCCTGTGGGGAAATGATTTTATTAAATTGCAGGGGTCTGAGGTTTTTCTGGCCAATGGCAGCACAGGCTCATTTGGGAAACCTGGATAGAGCATGGGATAGTACAGTTGAAGGATGTCTGGGATGCCCAGTCGGATGACTGGATACCCGTCACAGGGATCAGAGCTATGCTACCGCGAGTCCACAAGGTGGAACAAAACTATCAAAATTTGAAAGAATCGGTACCGAGTCACTGGATAAGCTCATTGAGAGGTGACAGAGAAGATAACCCAGGCAGCTGGCTGAAGGAACCGTCACAGCAGGATCTGTATCTGAAGGTCCTGGGCCCGGACCTAGCCACCGGTATCAAGGTTCAGAAATGGTGGAAAAAGACTGGGATGAATTCGACAGGTTTGCATTGCGAGGAGGAAGCAGTCATCCATACTACCATTGGGTTGGAGGAGGTCAGAGTCTGGGAAAGACAGGGTCCCAAGAGAACAGACCCCCTGCTCCTACTCAAGACAGAGAGGTTGTCAGTGGAGCCGGTCTTATATGGATGGAAAGGGGAAAGTCTGCAAAATAGGGCAATACCCATCTTTTCCTACAAAGCAAAAATTGGTGTCCTCATTCAACAGGAGAAAGTCGTAAAGAAGCCAATAGTGATGGCCGTAAGAAGGTTGGAAGAGATTCAGAAAACAACAGTGCAAAACAAAGACCTTTTAAACTGTGGAAGGCACTGAAGAAGGTTTCTTGTCTATCCAATGGCTACAATCGCTGCAGATTACAGCAACCTCCATGTGGCTAAACTCCAAAGGTATGGATCTACTCACCACCTGTACCCGATGTGATTGGGGCTGGGAAAATGCGGCTCATCTTTGGCTTTACTGCCCCCTTTCAGATGAGATCTGGGAATGGTGGAAGGATAGGTGGAAGTCCTTCTCAGACTCCTCCAATGAGTGGGGGGTAGATTTCATACTACATGCGAAGGCCCCAGAGAAAAGTAACTTCACAAGTGGAGAATGGTATGCAGCCTAAATATGTAGAGGAATTATCTTTGAAGCCATCTGGTCTGCAAGAAATGCAAAAGTGTTCCGAAGGGAGTTAATTCCCGCGCGGCAGACCTTCAACCAGATTAAGTATGCGATTAGATTAGTTGTGTTAGCAGACTGGAAAACAAAAGGCTTGCTCTGGTTTCTAAGACATGGGCTAAAAAGGCTTATTTCGCATCTGTGTCAGATGACGGTAAACTGATGCTCAGTGGTTGCTACAAGAATTGTAGGTGATACTAGAGTCAGGCAGTCCCAATGAACTCGCCTTGTTTACTTTTTCAAATCGTCGCTATAGGCCTCAGGGTAGAAGTATTACACTGGTTTTACAGTGTATTTCACTGGCTTTACAGTGTTCTTTGGAAGTAAGAGTAGGTTAGCCCTATTAAGTAGAGTGGCCGTTCTGGCACCAGGGGTTTGGAGATCCGGAATAAGGTAGCAGAAGATTGGTGGCACAGAGCTAAGTGCTCTTTTTCGCGCTCTCTTGTTGATTTTTTTGAATATGGCCTGTCGGGCAATGGGACTCTCGACCCGGTTTCCAGCACTAGCCGAAGCTGGGTAATGGCCCCAGTATTCCCGGGTAGAATTATGAGGTCCCCAGCCTCGTCTCATTGATGGATTATAAAGTTGTTTGCCTTTTCAAAAAAAAAAAAAAAAAAAAAAAACATAGCGGCCTGCTCGGGCGGAAACATTTTGTCTTTTTCGTACCCAGCACACATACAAGCTGTCGAAATACAGACCCGCACTTGAAGGCTTGGCTCCACTACTTCCAACATGCACACAAGATGAAAAATATGGCGGTGTATCCTCCCCCGGTCTAGCGGAGGATTCATTCTACTGCAATCGAACTCGACTTCTTCACACTTGCCATGCATGCAAACAGCGAAACAGCAAACTGGCGACATGCGCCCACACAGTACTCAAAGATATCGTAACCAGGTAAGAGTTCTCTTCAAACTAGCTATGGCAACTGAGCGCCCACACAACTCACTGTTTGCACTCTGGATCACCCTGGATGTCCCACACGCCACACTCTGGACATACACACAACACACAC